TTGTTAATGGTACACAACTGATTCAACACCGTTTTTTTTTTCCTTTTTTTCTTTTTACATCAGGTACAACATTATTATTGTGTACATCAGAGTCAAAAAAAACAAACAAAATCTCTGTTGTTGTTTACATCAGAAGCAACTTTGTTAACGAAACAACATAGTAGCCGTTTCACATAAGCGAAAAGAACCAGTGCAATGCTTTTCCTTCATTTCAAACCCTGCCTGCTTCTTCGAATTCCACCACAGAAGAATAAAAACAAAAACTACTGTCATCTACAGCTCGTTTTTCTACTCCTTGCTTGCTCTTAGTGTTATACTGTATGTACAGCGATGGCCTGGCTAACCTTTGACCCGTCAAACCAAGGCGGGAAGCTAAATTCAAGTGCATTTGTGGTTCTTTGCCTGGATGAGTCGCTGTTGAAGAGAACCTGGTTGGGTACTTACAATCCTTACAATCGTGGCTACAGTCACAGCTAATCTTTTGTTAGCCGTGTTTAGCTTCCCACCTTGGTCCAAACCCTGTTGGGCTTTGAGCAGCTGTCGTTAATCTGCCATTAGCTTCATGTCAGTCTTTTAAGTCAAGGTAGATACACAGAGAGAGGCGGTGCATCGAAGCTGGTGTAGCAAAAGAACTAACTTCCCATAAATGAAAAATGTTAGCCTCTGGAAAATTTGTGCAGCAAGCTAACTTAATGCAAACAACTACATTACTGCAAGCTTTTAATCTAGTTCACTCTGACAAATTAGGCAGATTTTAAGTAAAACCAACATGATTTATCTATATCAAAGATAACTTATACCCTGTTGGAGTTACTCAAAAAGTGATGCAAACAGCTTCTACAATGTTACTTCTTTTTTTTTTTTTTTGCGCAAGCTAGCATAACTTTTTTTTTTTACAGTGTATAAACCTTCAGCTCCATGCCAGTGAAGAGACAAATGCATACAAATTTAAATAGAAAGATTCTGGTTAGAGTTAAAACAACATCAAGGTGTCTTTTGTCTCTTTTCAGAGTGGAAATGAAATATGAATAATATTTGGTGTTTTAAGAAAGATCCATTGGTTATAAAACCCTTTACAGGTTGGACTGCAAATATTTAAGTTTCTGTTAGAAAGATTTCCCTTTGGCAAAACAGGGGTAAACTGCCACTCCAAGGCCTTCACATGAGAACAGCTACTCTAATGGAGAGCCGGACATTGTACAGAGTTTGGCAAATGCGAGTAATCTGACGCCTCATATTATCATTTATTTTGGTGGTCAAGGGGTAATTTAATTTTAGAGTTTATACAGAGTTGTTCCAAAAATGTTCCAACGTTGGTGCAGTTTGGTCACATTTCAGTAAGCAAGCCATGTTGCTGGTTGTCACCTGCTGAAACTTTATCAGCCATAACAGGGTGGTTTTCTACATCAAGCGCGTCATTTGATGAGTTTGAATTTTACATAGTTATCTTCAAGATACTCCGGACTTGCCAAACTCATCCAATCCAGGGCTCTGCTCAGCTCTACTCTCTCACAGGGGTTGAAAGCTGTCTGTGACAAGATTGTTGCCAAGTTTTAAATGGATTACGTCTAAACCCAGACTACGTACTTTACAGATGACATTTAAAATACTACTTATTATATTATACATCAAGTAAAAAAACACAACATCAGCAGGAAAATTCTGGCCAATTCCGATGCATACAGTATAGTGCCATTTAACAAACTACGGACTTTTATGCCTACGTATACAGTAAGTTTTGTTGTATGTTGTGGTTTTGGCTGAACGAGTAAAATAGTTAACAGTCTGAAGTGTAAACCTCTGTCTGACAGTCAAGATAAGCTTGAAGATTTGTACTCTACACATGTGTCAGGACAGGCTCTTGGGACACTTTAACGTTGTTCATTTTTCAGGATATATTTTTTTGTCTGTTGATGACTGAATCATGAAAAAAGATTCCCAGCAGTTGGTGTCCGATAGTGTCAGTTTGTCAGTCTGCTGTGTGTTATTGCAGTTTAATGTAATCTGAAAGTTGCGTATTCTAGCGTTGGTCGTGTTAATGCTTCCGAAAGCAGGTATTGGTAGGCTACATGTTTGCCAGCTAGCCTAGTACTTGACAAGGGTTTTCAGTGATGCTTGGCTGTTGCTTGAGATGTTTGGTAGCTAGTGTCCCGAAAACAGCACATCTAGTATTTTCAAAAAACCTTTTTTGGGTGGGAACAAATCCAGCCAGACCTTTATCCTATCCTTTGCATAAACCTTTTGTAACATTCAAGCTCAAAATTCAGTTAGAAGAGGGCGAACAACACCTCAAATAGTAAAATGACTCTACAGAGGATTTATTTGTAGAACCCGTGTGGGCCTGTATCATAAACTGAGTTTCACTTTGGGCTGAACCCCGGCTTTCTGCTATCACAAAGATGATTAACTTTTCACCAGAACAGCTCACCATGGCTGCGCAGCTAATTAGCATCAGCTCACTGGGCTCACAGATGACGCTAATTAGCTCACTGAAATAATGAGCTGATAATAGGCTCATTCTTTCTACAGACTCCCAACATGGACAGAATTACCATACCATAAAAAGGCAAGTGATGTTGCAAATTTGCAATGAACTTGCTCATAGCTGGATAAGAAAAGGCTCAGAGAAGCCAGATGACCCAGAGAGCCCAACTTACAGTGGTTGAGCTCACTTGGCAAGACAGGTCCCAGAGGTGTAGTTTCTGGGGGTGGGTGTTTTCCGACATACAGCCAATTGAATAGCTTGTATAAAGGATTTCAGGTTGAAAATTGTCTCCAAACCTCTGTGAGCTTGATAAACAGAGTCTGGCTGTCACAGATTAGATGTACCCTATGGTAGATGTCCCCACAGAGCTAGTGTAGTACAACGGTATTTGCCCCTATCTGTTAGTAAAACTACTTCCCCACCAACAACAAACGCTTTTAAACCGTTCCTTCGTCAGATGGCTGCCACGATAAGAGTGAAAACTGGCTGCTGAAGTAAAAGTCGGGTTTCAAGGCCGGCGTGAAGCAGTGAATCGTGCAGATTACGAGTCTTTACTCAAGAGAAAACACATGCCCTTGAATAAAGGCATAATATGAAGTCAGATGTTCATTGCTTCCTTTGGGCTAAGGCCTTCATGATCCACATGACTGAAGGCTTGCATGTTTAAGCATAGCGATGAGTGGAGGTGGCCTGGGAAAAGAACCATAGCGTATATGATTTAATTTGGAATAAGGCTGACTGCAATTCAAAAGCAGTCTTTGTAACCAACTGGGACAAACTCCGACCAACAAAGGTTGAAGCCTTGTTTGCTTTTCCGATATTTGGGTAACTCTACTATTTTTAACTTTTATTTCACGTAGTCTTGTTTTTGTTTTTTTTTCTTTTAAAGCCACACTGAAGCAAAGTCCTAACAACTAAGCAGGTGAAGTATGAGGAAATCCCTGTTAAATAGCCCCCTAAGGACCAATCTATGTGAAGAATCATAAATCAAGGGTCAGGGTTAGGGATTAGTGGTTGTTTCTTACAAAGCCCTTGAGGATTTTGATTGGTCCACTGACCAGCCAGAAGGGGTGGTGATGGTGGGGGGAAGGGGTTGCTTAAGACACACAGGGATAATGGCCGAAGCTGTCGAGTGAACCAACTGGTAAAGCGGCATCATCAAAGTGAGATAAACAATGAGAGAGAGAGAGGCAGTTGACAGACATGAGGTTTCACTGAGGGCGGTACCTACGTTTTTTTCAAAGTCTATTGCAATGTTATGATTGACACATGGCGATGGCAATCTCATCGGTGGAAAACCAGGTAACAGAATTCCACGGTTAAAAAAAAGAAAACACAAACACACGTAAGAGTAACCTAGAAAGTTATGCAATGATAATAGTTTTCTCTAACAGTTTTAAACGGTAGAGCGGCCATGTTGTCCTCTCAGACGCGGCCTTATTAAAGGTAAAAGCACACTAACCCCTTTTCTTGATTCAAATTAGACCTTAAAATCATTTACATCTACAGTATAAAGCAACAGAAAGAGGGCCTGTTCAGGAGCGCATGGCGTAACCAAGACATTCAGAAGGAAAATAGTGGAGCTGTAATGTACGTTCAGCTCTTTGTATTTACATTTCTAACCTCAGTTCAAAACCGTTCACTTCAATCGATCGCTGCCCTCCCACAAAAGAGTCTTACTCAGCATTTCTACAGGCCGGGAGAGCGAGGGTCGAAAAGACCTCGAAATACGAAAGCGTATCCCGTCTCACGCAGAGACGGCAAAACGAGAGGCGTCTTTTTCTTTTTCTTTTTTGTTTTTCACAGTACTTGACCATCTTCCCACAACACACAAGCACAGAAACACACAGTCACACACCAGCACTCGCACAGTTTGTTGTCATTAAACAGTTGTGGCAATATGTCCGGCTTCTTCTGATTGTGTTTTCAGTATCGTCTGGTCATGCATGTACATACTGATACAGTTACTGTCTCCTCCTGTCTAACATGTGCCTGTTACTGTCGCTGGACGCGGGTGTAGCGCTGCTCCAACTGGAAGGGGATTAATGAGAGATGCTGTTCCCATTAGCAGCTGTGAACGGTGTGTGTGTCTGGTTTAATATCTTGCTTCTCATGTTGACTTGTGTATGGTTGAACAAGCTGGGAAACTGTGTGTGTTTGTTTCTTTGTTTGCGACTTTGGGGATTAGATTTATGTATTTAAAACAGGGGAGGGTTTAAGACAGCTTGATTGGTTTGGATTTATAGGTCGAGAAAAAAAAATGAATTCCATAGTTTATTCGTTTGTCCACCATTTTTCCATCTTCTGAGCCATTTCTCTAGCTCCTGTGATTCTCCTGTTTGCTGTCGTCCTTCCGTGTATCCGTACTTCTTCCTGTTCTGTTTTAAGATGCTTTAACGCGTCCTCCATTTCTTCATCTGTACATCCATCCATTCATCCGTCAATCAATCTATTGCGTAAAGGGAGGGAGTGATAGATCAATGAGAGAGCCTTAACTTCCAAATCCATCCATTCACCCACCTCCCCCTTGGTTTCTTCCTCCATGTTCTCCTTCTGTCCCACCCTTCCCTTCGTTACCTCCTGTCACCTTAGAAGCCCTGGATGTGGCAGTAGGCCTCCAGTGAGGAGAAGAGGATGTAGAGGAGCCACAGGCTGACAAACAGCATGGTGGTCAGGACCTTCGCAGTCCGGGGCCCGCCCAGTTCTCCGCCGATCTCTGGCCGCCGTCGGTACATCAGCACGGCGACGCAGACGAAGGCAAAGATGGTGAAGAGGGTGACGGAGAAGGCCAGCGTGCCAGGGTCCACCCTGAACTCATCCCCCCTGCTCTGGTGGTAGATGGCAGCGATTGACCACGCCACCTGTCAATCATCATCATAGTCAAATTGAATAACATGAGATGTAGTGACTGTTTACAACAGCTGAGACCACACCAGAAAAACATGGACGTCATTGTAAGAGACAGATGGCTGCGCTTCTTCAATCCCACATATCTTTGTAATAATATCTCAAAGCAGCAGCATCACGCAGCATTAAAGACACCACTCATACAGTAACATATCCATTTCTACAAATACATGATAGTAATTACTGCCATGGCAGCATGACAAGCAGTGCTGCATTTACACTAGCAATGAACCAGTCAATCACTCTCTAGATGAGCTGGTACTCACCCCGATGCCCAGGAAAACGTTGACAGCGTTCGAGCCTGTCACATTACCAATGGAGGCGTCGGCATACTGATCCTGGATGGCAGCTACCTTACTGGCAAAGGTATCTGAATGGAGAGAGGAGGGAGAGATATCAGATGATTTTTATTATTATTATTATTATTATCATTATTATTAACTGTGTTGCTGTCTAATAGTATTCGTTTTAGATCATTCTATTCAAGAATCTAACAGACGTACACCAGGGATATGTGATTGTTTGAGTGATTTTTAAAAAGGTTTTCAACATAAAAATGAAACAGGGTGTGAGTATTACTGTCACTGTGTCTCACACCTCTGTTTTGGGGAAAGTAATCCGTCTCCATATTGTCTTCATACATGGTTTTGAAACAGTTTTCTTGCTGTAAATGTCCACCAGGAGAATTATGGGAAATAATCTGAAAGGAATCTAGTTGTAGTCTTCCAAATAGACCCTGCAAAATCTACAGATTTATTCTTTTGTGTTAACTCACAACAGTCATTTGTGAGTTACACAAGACCACAGTGACAGGGAAGGACGCTCTTGATAGATGCACAACACTTATAATTATTAATACAGAACACCGTGCAAATCCAGTTTTCCACATTTAGACAGGGAACCTTAAATTAGAAACCACAATCTTTAATCCTGTTACAGTGTTCCGTCGCTGGCAGCCAACACGGGCCAGATTTGGACCAAGATCAATAAATTACAAGGCTGAATCTTACTTTGCAGGGGCAAACAAATCTTGGCCTGACAACTAATCAGTGCTGCGATGCTTAGTCCCAAAAATTTCCCCCTCCTGTTTCATGTCTGCCAAACAATGGCAGCTCCAAAGGGATAGCTTTCCTTGCCGTACTAAAAGCAGCTTTGAACTCTCGGCCAAATCTCAACAATAGGCTCTTTCCTTGAGAGCACAAAGAGTGAGCACATCGTCAAATGGTCAGTTAGTCGTATTTGCTCTCACTAATTTACTGGCCGTATTATCTTCCTTAGTGATTCATGTCCTCTTGCTTTTATGTGGCAGAGATGGCAAGAGGAGATAAAAAACTGAGGAAGTGAAGGAGAAAAGAGGAGGAAGGGTTTTTCTGTGGCAGCCAAATTGGTGATGGAAAATAGGGACAATGGGAAGACCGGAAGAGGACTGAGGAGGGGAGAGAGGAGGGTGGACGAGGCAATGGGCCAAGGAAAGATAAATCTCCCCATACACCTTAAAGCTTCAAGGAGAAGCCTGCTGGGCTTCACTGAATGCACGTGTGTGTAACGAGGCTCTATTTATGTGGTGCTTGTCTGCCTGCATGTGTGTGTGTGTGTGTGTTTCTGTGTACAGTGCATACATGAACACTGTGTCTGTGTGTTAGTGTACAATGCCACCTGGGTCCAATCTGATGCCATGCCTCCACCAGCTGGCAAAGGCATGTGTGTACATCAATTGATCTTTGAGTGTTTGTGTGGCTGATTGAGTGGGTGAGTGCGTGGTTGCTCGCATGTTTGGTAGCAGCATGTGTGCATTCCTTTGTGTGTGTGTGTGTGTGTGTGTGTGTGTGCGCATGTGAGAAACAGGTTCCACTCTGCAGCTCCTTCTGTGAGAGTATGTCTCCCTGGAGAGGTTTCTGCCCTTTCTTTTTCCTTTCTGTCAATCAAACAGTCTTTTCCGTCTCATCCTTCCTCTCTCTCCTGCATGCTCTCCCTCTACCTCTCCTTCAAGCTCCCTTCTTCCCGTCGCCTCTTGAAATGGAAGGACTCGTCGGGGAGCACTCATGTGCTCACGGCAATCTGGCAATCCTTCTGCATCTAGACATTTTTTGCTTGGTGAGGAACATTTGGTCAGAGGGGAAATTATAAGCAGACAGTGGCGCGAGTCAATAGGTCACAAAAATAGTTACGCTTTATCATCTTGGGACATTTTAAAAAATAAATCTAACAGCAGGACTTTTCAAAGAGTTGGACGACTGACGTGGTTCTTCCTGATCATTTGAGATGGTGAAAAGAAATGAATGTTAATCAATAAAACCAGAAATCAGGCGGTTGGCCAATATTACAATAATGATTTTGTTTTTGTTTCGTTTATTGATCAAACGAAAGGAAAAAAAAAATCACAATTTCTCAAAACCAGATTAAACGTCTCCAGTTTGTTTGAAATGATATAAAACAAATGCTTGTGCTCGTATCTTCTGTTGATTGACTAATTGTTTCATAATAATGATCTAATAGTGTCAGATGAAATCCCTGTTAAATTCAAGTAAGCACTGTGACTGTAGGTTGTATGATAACTGGCTAATGTAGCATTACAGGATCCGTCTAATGTCGAGACCAGTTGAACAATAAGTCCATGAAGCTGCTACACAACAATGTGAGACAAGTTTTCTGAACCAAATATTTTTTTTTTTTTTTGTTAGTTGTGTTTTCTTGCCCGAGTCAAAAAATGCGTCCTTATCACCGAAAAAGATTTCCACAGATAATCCTCCTGTTCATCTCTACCATCGCCTCCCAATTATCTGTGGATCAGCTGAACGATTTGTGGCAGGATGTTTGCGGACTCAAGCAAGTTCAATTTTTGTCTTCTTAAGACTTTAATGTCTCCTAACGACCTTAATATCCTGGACATTTAGAGGCAATTTTGTCACAACACAATTTAAAAAGGTCAAATATGCTCTCATATACATGATATCCTAATTATAAAACATTGTAGTAATAATTGGTCTGTAGATGCCTTACAGTCCACAGTGCTATTACCTTCCTTATATAGCTGTGTCACTGTTCATTCATGCGTTCATTCATTCTCTGCCTGTCTTTGCCATTTTACTAACTCTCTTGTCATGTCAGACCCTGCCACTCCCCCGTGCCCTGCAGTAACCCCGGCACTAATCAATTCCTTGTATATATACTGGCCCCATTCCCACTCATTCTCTGCAAGAGTATCTACCGTGCCTTCCATGCTGTAGCTATCCATCCCTGCTTATCTAACCTGTGTTTGACACCGGGGGTTTTGCCTGGTTTTCCGGCCCCCCGTGCCCTCACGTTGTCCCTGACTGCTTCTGTCTGTTTTTGTACAGGTGAACTATTTTGAACTTTTGTCTGTGTATCTGAGTCGTGCATTTGAGACCTCCCAGTCCTGAGTCATGACAAGCTGCTTATGTCAACAGAGTCCCACGGTGCCGCTCTCCGTTTAAATGTCATTCTTGACTTTGTAAGGCCGACATGAAATGATACACATCACACTTTAAATATACATTCGAGTCATACAACTGAGGTGAATCCCAAAGAAACAACACATTTCAGTTCCTTGTGGCTCTGATTCAATTTACAGCTCCACTGTTTTCTTTCCATCTCCGTGCACATGTGTGTGTGTGTGTGTGTGTGTGTGTGTGTGTGTATGTGTGTGTGTGTATGTGTGTGTGTGTGTGTTGGGCTGGCTAACTGTGATAAACGAGGTTAATCATCATGGAACCACAACACAGGATGGGTTTTATTAACTCTAATAGCCACGGATCTGGAGGTCTGTTTCTTTGTGTGAGTGTGTGGGCCACAGGAGGTTCTGTTAATAAGGCTGAGAGCCTCTGAAAGGCTGAATCACTTTGTTTCCATTCTGCAAGTCTACACATTGTGTACATCTGTGTTTTAAACAGCTGTGTGTGTATGCATTTGTCCATAAATTCAACTGTTACTTGGCATGTATTTCTGTTTGTTTGTGTGTCCAAATATCACATGTTTATTGTGTGTGTATATACTGTACGTTTGTATGCATGCATGTGTGTGTGTAACATAGTATGTAATACATCACTTTTATCCCTTAGGTCCCTAAATGGGAGGACAGAGACCACTTGGGCCTGACATGACAAATAGCCCTATGCTAATAACACATGGTGGCCTCGGTACAGTACAGGTGTGTGCGTATGTCTGTGTGCACAAGTGTGTGTGACACCTATTTCAAGCTTTAATGTGTTGCAAGTATATGAGTGTGTGAGACTGTTCGTTCAATTAATTCAAGTTGCAGCTGTTTACATGTCCGCAAGTTGTACATCCAGCATTCAATCATGTGCTGAATGTCTGCATGTGTTGTCTTCTCTGTGTGTGTGTGTGTGTGTGTGTGTGTGTGTGTGTGTGTGTGTGTGTGTGTGTGTGTGTGTGTGTGTGTGTGTGTGCGCGCGCAGAGGCAGGAGACTGGGGCCAAGGTTAAAACATATTTAGCCGGCTGTTGCAGTCATCGGTCGTTCTTCACATTTAGAGGATGATCCATGCTGCTGTCTGCAGACCGCAGAGCTCCGTCTAACAGGCTCCCACATTTAAAAACCCACTGGAGAGAGCGGAAACCACTGGGTCAGTCACACTGAAACCTCCATCAGCATGAGTCCGTGTGCACTCGTTTAATCTTTGCTCGTTTTTTTTCTATGGATGTTCACTGTAAATAAAATGAACCAAATCTAAATTCATTTGCAGGGTTGTCCTCAATTAAAGAAGGTCTCATATAATTTGTTTTAATTAATCAATTATTTCAATCAATTTAGAATAAATCTCTTCCATCTAGTTTTATACTTTGCCTGCAGCGCCAGTGCTTATTACAGCAAGTTTGTGAAAATTATCATGATGCCAGAAATGTGACAATCATTTCCTAGTAATGAACAGTGACTAATGGCCCATTCCCCATAATTAAATAAACATAAAAATCTAAAAATGTCTTACTTTGCCAAAAACCGAATGAATGGATTAGTTGACTAATTGAAGAAGTGGGGGCAGATCTCGTAATTCATCATAAACCACAGTCAAAACAATTAAATAGTTTTTCTCTGTAGTGCAACACATCATCACGTGTGAGATGCAGCTTTGTGAAAGTTTGTATTGTATCTACACAGATACTCGCACACTTGCAGGTCAGCACACTGCAGCACCTTGTCTTCTTTCCATTTTCTATCATAGCTACCGTTCATTTGTTTGACCTGATTGTTGGAGCAACAAGCATCTACTTTTATGAGGCTTTTAGAAACCATCGTCAGTGCAGGGATATACTCTGTGAAGTTGTCTCTTTTATTCTGCACTGGACACGCTGAGGAAAGAAATGAGGGGAATAAAGCTCCTGGTAATAAAAACTGAAGCAGCAAATAGAAAATGTCAAAGCATAGGCCCTGAAGGTGATCATTGATGAACGCAAATCTATTCCTACAGTGAAGACTTCTGGGTATTTTATGCTCATAAAGGTCTTATGAAGCTAAATGGCACAAGTGGAGGGAGAAAGGTCTTTGATTAAAGCTGGCGGAAAGTCCAATAGCAGGATAATTAAAATGGCGGCAGTATTGGATCAATATCGGCTCACAATACATACAGTCAACATACGGTCAACGTACATTGTATGCGCTCACGCACACACACACACACACACACACTTACCTGGTACAGAGGTTCCCAATGCAACAAATACTACTGCTGTGACTGAGTCTTTCAATCCCACTGTGCAGCCAAAATGAGAGGCAAGGTCCCCTGTAAAAATAAGAGAGGAACATGAATGCTAAAAAAAAAACCTCAATATCTTTTTACATATTGATGTCTTTGTTTTGTAAAAGAAGAATCCTGTCATTAAAAATGTTCTTTAAAAAAGGTTTTGGAATTCTTAAAATGTTTTCGTAAATTCAATATGACTTAAGTTCAAATTTCAAACTGTTCTTTTCGGTTTTCATCTCACCAATGACGGCGGTGAGCAGCCCGATCATGCAGATGGAGACGACGAAACAGGCCCAGCCGTTCCAGTAGTCTGTGGGCGGGACGAAGGCGAACAGAACCTTCCAGAAGACGGTGAGGAAGTGCATGACGTAGTCGAAACACGACGGCAACTTCTCCTCCCCGCATTCCTCGTCGTCGTCATCCTCGCCTGGGGGGGGAGAAAGCGTTCAGAGAAATTTTAAGTTAAAGATCTAGATTTGACTGACTGTAACCTCTAAAGTTCCTAATTCCCACCTTGTGTCACTGTCCCTCTGCTCCTGATGTCCCATCAAGGAAATACTGTCACAAAGAGGGAATTTCATACTAAAAACACTGACTTTGGAAGATCCCCTCATGATTTGTCTAATTCAGACTTCTGAGGCCTCATATTAGCTGTAGCTGACCTTTAAAATGCATTTTCACACAGAGCGAGGACTGTGGACTTTGTTCTGCATCACTTACATTGAAACAGTGAACCTATCCTTTGACCGAGCAATAACAGGTGCTGTATGTTAATGAGGACATTAATTCCAAAGGGAAGCTATCAAATCTAATCACATTTCTTGAGCCTGAGACGAGTTGGAGACCGACCACGGATACATCATGAGGTAAATCATGGTACGTCCCTGCGAAACGAATGACATTCCCATCAGTGCTAATTAGCAAATATTAGCATGCTAACATACTGAAGTGATACAGTGAACATGTCAAACATTGCACCTGCTGAACATTAGTTAGCAATGCCATTGTGTACATGTTACCAAGCTAAAAGTCCTGGTGTGACTGGAATCTGGACAAAGTTATTCAATGTTTAATATACTTTTTTTTTTTTTTTTTTTACCATCAGTTTAAATTGACTTTTACGAACTAGGTTAGAATAAGAGCGGTATCATATTGTAATAAAGAATCATACAGGCAAAGCAGGTGGTAATTACATCAAACAAATTGTTAAATGGAAATAAAAACGGTACTTTTAGACTAAAAGCTGACACATTTTGGCTTAAGCATGACTTTGCCAAAATAAGCTTCACCCTGCTGTGAGATAAGAGCTAATGTTCTCTGTCCATTACCTGAAGAGCAAAGGATTAAATGTCTCTGTCTCTGACTTTCACTCCAGCAGCGGGGTCAGAAGTTTAAGTCTAGAGACAGACATGCACAGTGCAATCCATTATCATTACAGAGATTAAAAAAAGACTCAATTTAACATCACCTCTGATCCACGGTCTGGCAGGTGTGTGTGTGTGTGTGTGTGTGTGATGTCAGTATCAAAGTCTAATCACTGCTTCAGGATATGGACTACAGCCAACCACATACTGTTTGGATTTGTTGTGCATGTGCATGGTTACACACACGCACGCGCACACTCACACTCACACACACACATACACACATACACCATTATCAGCCTATGCAGCCCTCTCTGTAGTTGGCTGTTGTTCTGCTCCATTTATAAACGACTAAAATGAATGAATAAACGAGACTACCTGCTGCTTCAATGAAACACGCTGACTGGGTAAATCCCATCGAAAACCATGATCTCTAATTGGTTTCACCCGAATCATTCAGTCACTGCATACTATTAACCTTTTAAGAGCTGCTGTATCCAAATGCTCAAACACAAACGAACAAAAAGCGTCTGCATCCTAAACTGAGTGTGGAGAGCCTCCAGGAACTGTTTATCCTGCTGAGGTGTTGTTTATGTCTTCGTCTTTTTTTAATGACAATTTTCTTGCAAAGTAATCCTTCATACATTCATGAAAAACACCCGGTCCCAGTAAAGATACAGGCAGCCATCTTTATCAATTGGATGTCGATCCTAAGGAAAATTTTGCCTTCATTTTTTTTTCGTTTAGAGGAAGGAAAATGTGGGAATCAGAGGCTTAGAAAAGCCAAACTGAGACACACTCTCTCACATGCACCCTTCAATTTCAGTGATGGATAAATTACTTTCTTTTGAAATATGTCATTTGGGACTGAATGCATGAATGCATCAGCCTTGGCAAAAACTGTCATAACAGATAATAAAGCAATAAAACATGTGCAAAAAAAAAAAAAAGCAGCTCCACACTCCAGTTGTCCTTAACTTGATGATCCCAAGACGAGACAGGCAGCTTCAGCTCTGGCCCTCTGCTGTAAGCACACGAGACAGCCTGATATTTAAGTCATTAAACACAAGTCATGAACCAGATCCACACTGTGTGTTGTGCTATTACCAGGCATTAGTATGGGCTAACACAAAGATTAATGTACTCTATCTAATAGGGCCAATAATTTACTCAGAGGTCATGCACCTTGTTTAATGTAATTAAAAATAAATGTTCCCCTTTCAGAGTGAGTACTACAAATCAAACCGTCAATTATAAATGAACAGTGGAAGGTCAGTGCAGGGAGCAAAGGCCTCTTAAGCTATTACGATTTGGGACACACACACAAACACACACACACTTGGTAATGAATTATAAAAAAAGATTCTAGACTCTACCTGAGTAATGTCACTTTTTACTTTCAGCTGCTCTCCTTCCCGCCCACACAGTCTGTCATGACTGAATGGAGCCATTTCTCTCTCTCTTTCACGCTAATGTTTATATGAGATCTTTCGTCACAGTCTTGGTCTCTTCCTTTTTCATTTTCTGTCCCTGTATGTGTAGGTGTTGATCACGTAGCCCCCCCCCCCCCGCAAGCACACATGGGAGAAACCACAGTCTGGGGTAACCACACTGGGAAAATGGTAACGTAGTCCAGTGAGGATTTACAGTATAGAGGACTGGACAGTGTCTAAAAGCAGTGAGTTTAAAGTGCCTTAATTTGTTGTTGTCTGTAATTGTTTAATTATCTTTTAACTTTTCATCCTTGCTCACATTTTGCTGATGTAGCCTTTATATAACTGAACGTTATCTGTGACTTTCTCGCTTCATCCCTCTTAATCTTCCTCATCCCCCTACAACCTTCTGTCACGCTCTAAATGCCATTGTTAGTGTCTTTGCTCCATTTTGTGTTTGTGTGCGTGATATTCTTTGTTATTTATTTGGCGCCTCATTAGCTTCCAGAGCTGCTGCTGGTCTCTTGGATAAAAACAAAACAGCAGTTTGAAAAATGAGGCCAAATATAAACTGATATCACTAATGAAAGGGTAATCAATAAACAATCCCATACGCAAATGTAATATATGTGTATATATATTGCATTTCCTCATATGAAATATATGTGCATATAAAATAAAAACATACATGTCAAAATTATATATAAAACCTATTAGCTCATACAAATATGTATATTTATGTATGTTTGCATCCCAAAGCCTATATATATATATATATATACATATATACACACATATATATATGTTGTATATACAGTGGGGTCCACTGGGAAGATAGACATGTTTAAAATGAATGAGAAAAAGAAAAACATATATAAGCATATAGAATTATTGTTTTAATAAACTTGCATATATAAATGAAACATATATTGTTAACATATCTGGTTGCAACATGTTTTTACCATATAAAAATCTATCAGAATAATACATGTACATATGCAAATTTCACTATGGTATTTCATATATGCTACAAACTTATATCTTTATATATCCAGAGGATGTATAATAAGATATCCCCTTATGATTGACATATATATCAACATCACTCTTGATAAAGGGACATTTGTCATATTATTTTCTTATGGGATGAACTGAATTTATAATGAAAATAAACACAATCTGCCAAAAAAGAAGAAACAATGTCCCAAGCAACAATAAACAAAACAAAATTAACACCTAAGTCAGCTGCTCATTGGTTAGCATCTCATGCTAATCTGACAGCTGCTAGCAGAGGCTTTTCTATTGAGGGGCACCAGCATCCGAATGTGCTTGACATAAAGAAATATCTCGTCCTACCCATGCACACACATATCAATTCTCTATCTCTCTCTCTTGCCTTCCAGCGGTATTAGTGTGTGTTATCTCTTGCTGCTCACTGAGCGTGCCCAGAAGTTGCATTCTCATAGGTCAGGGCAGCAGTGGTCTGCAGCTCTTCTCCACAGGCTGCTAGCCACGCAACAAGGTGCAGGTACATGAGTGTATGGGACTGTGCACTAAGAGTGATACGGTGTGAGCTCAGGGGACTTGTAGGAATCATTCATACCGCTGCCTGTTTACACACGCATGCACGCACACACACACACACACATATCACCAGACTCTCTCTCACACACAGGGCTTTGAAACTGATGCGGCCAAACAAGCTTCTGTGCAGAAAAGCATGTGAGCTGCTGCAAAATGACCCTTCAATCACTTTAGATTACAGAAGTAGAGAGCGAGACTCTGGATAAGTCATATCAGGCTTCATGCTGCTAGCCACCGGGGTTTTGTAAAAAACACACACCCAAACACACTCAGATCAACAGAAAAGACACACACACACTTGAAGACAGGACAGTATGCATACAGGCGTAGGGGAAAGACAAAAAAAGATATGTGCAAGTGATACGTGCACAGACTCTGAATCCCAAACGGAGTGAGGAACATCACGTACTCAGAGAATTGTGGGAAATATCACACACACACACACACACAGTCAAGAAATACAGCCTGTCTTTTATCCATGCATCTTCAAAACGTATCCAGTCTGTGCCTTTCGTTAGTGTTTTTTTGTTTTTTTTGACGCTGATGTTTATATTTGAGTCACAGAAATAAGCCGCTGTGATTCTCAAAAATATCAACATAAAATCACATTTTGAGAGCTTTTAACAAACCTCCCTGCATTTCTGAAGACACATCCATAATCTTAAACGCCTCTTCTGTCCTGTATAAAACACTCCCTCCACTGTGCAGTGAGTCTCACTTCCTCAAGATCTTTCTGATTTCCTTGACCAAACAAATACCACCTCACAGGCCACGCCTTCAACTTTACCATGACAGCCCTGTGAAGGATTGTGTGTGTGTATGTGTGTCATGCTGACATGCTCATATTTATATTCATGTTCCACTGATCCTGTCATCCTGCCAGTCACGTGCACAAACACACACACACACACACACACACACACACACACACACACACACACACACACACACACACACACACTGTCAAACAGGCACCAGAGTCACTGGAGAGCTTCAAATAGACAGTTGACAGTTAAACGAGGCTGAATCTTTCCTCAATGCACCAC